ACCCAAATCCCATAAGAGATTATGCATCATTTGATGATTTTGTTAAAAAATCTATGACATTGAGTTGGCGAATAAAGCTTTGGGTGAAATTTTTAATTAATTTTACAATGTAGTTAATGTTTTTGGCAATATTAAACAAATGCAAAAAACAAATTAAAAAAACAAATATATTTGGTTTCATTAAACGATAATTTAATTGGGCGGTATTGTGGATGATGTTACTTGTGATTCTATTTCCATGACTTGCCTGCTTGTCATAAGCAATAACTTTTCAGCGCACAAGCCAAACATTATTCCACTGACAGATCCTGTTTCATCTTCGATTGTGACATGTAATTTGGCCCTGCGCGAAGGATATAATACGAGTTTTTGAGGAAAATGACGTATACTTATGTTGTATGGTGTAATACAAGTGGCGTACTTGCCTTGGAACGCCATAAGCATGTTGTTGACCGCAATTCATGCAGTGAAATATTGCGTCACAACCAGCGTATTTTAATTTGGCACAATGGCACATGGCTACAAGCACCATGCACCCATGGTTATTTAAATAGTTTAAATTAATAATTTTTTGAAATATGTTTTAGAATAGTAAGAAGGATAAATATTTTTCAAATATGTATTTTAATTTTTCCTGCAATCTCCCATTTAACCGATCACTCATATCCATTCAAACTTTCATTTAATTACTTTTAATTTTGTTGTATCTGCATTAGATAACAAGGTGCATAGGGGATGAGATGAACAAAATATCTTTGGCAGGCATTGATGCCAGTGTGTTTTATTTTGGTGCCAGAGTTGTAAGAAAGCTTAACTGATTCTTGTTTCTTGTCAAAAGAAAGCTTAACTGATTCTTGTTTCTTGTCAACAGAGATCCCTTTGTGAAATTAATTATATTTAACAAGCTTAAGTGGAGCACTGAGCGATATTAATGAAGGAAAGTCTTTCTATTATTGCATGTTTTACACTTAAACATCGATTTAGACCAAACAGTGTTTTTTTAGCTTATTAACTAATATGTTGCAAATGATTCTATATGTACCGTATATAATTATTTTTTACATACCATTTATTACCTACGGGCAAGTATGAGCACTACTATAAGAGTATAAGAATTATTAATTTCCAGATTTTTTCTAAAAGATATATCAATTATTACTAGTAATTTTTAGCTTGTTTTAGCGACATGATTGAGTATAACAAACTAACTAATGTAGATTGTACCAAATAGATATGAAGGAAGTTATTTGATGTTGGTCTCCCTAATATTGAATTGTTGTTTCTTTTAACAAAGAGTAAAAGTAAATCCTTATCTTAAATGAATTACAAAAAATATGTTTGGAAGCATTACACATTTACACAATTATATAAACTTATTTGGGAAAAATTGAGTTTGCACCCCATTTTAAAAAAATTGTTTTTGCACCCCTAACCTATTTGAAAAGACAAAAATGTCCCTCCATTAACAATTTTGTTGGTCTTCAACATATTTTTGATTGAGGGTATTTTTGTCTTTTCATATGGGGTTGGGGTGCAAAAACAAAGTTTTTTAAAAATGGGATGCAAAGTCCAATTTGTACAAGAAAATGGGATGCAAACTCAAATTAACTCAAGTTATTTTCACATCCAATACAAAGATTGAGAGTGCACACGCATATAAAGTTATTTGTTCACTATAGTTTTGGTAATTATGATAAAATAAAATGTAGAAGGCTACTAGGCTAGACTCCTAGACGCTAGACATACGTACATTTTGCCTTAACTTGAAACTAATTCCGATAAACTAATTTATTTTTTGTTTTCCATATACTTAAATTGAGCATGATCATACATTTGGATTTAATTTAATAGCTTAGGGTTCCCTTCATATGTCAAACAATTTGATTTGTTTGTGTTGTATGAACAACAAAAAATTGATTATAATACGTTGTTGTTGCACACATGTAATCTCTTGAAAAATCCTTCCTATGTACTTATATACTACGTATAATATAATTTGTCAAATATTTTGCTTAGTAAATCACATTGGGCAATTACCCGATCGCGCAACGCGCGTGATAAAAACTAGTAAGAAGATAAGAGCTAATTGCGTAGCTTTAGCCGGAAGCCTACTAACCTTCATCCCTATCACCTAAACCCTCATATTATGTGTACTAAATCTTTATGATTGAATATGATTTTTTATGGTCGAAATTTCATCTCTTCCAATACTGGTGTCCTCTTAAGAGGATTCGAGCCAACGTAAGCATTGGTTCACCACCAAGATTTGGATTTGGCAACTCATACATTTTGATCGTCTTCAGATGCAATAAGTCACAAACCAAATTATCCCTTGCAAGTGGGGCCCAGTCATGGTCCAAAGATTCAGAGTCATAAGAATTCATGACCAATGTCTCAATGTCTGGAGAAGATTTGAGCAAGTCTAAAATGCCACGAATGGTTTGCCCACCACCATATATCATATCTATTTCTAAACACCTTAGCTTATATTGTGGAAGCTGCCAACCATTAAGCACCAGCGCAGCAAGAACCTTAAGGGGTTCAGGACACAGTTCAAGCTCCTTAACATGATGAATCTTTTCAAAAATTTCTTTCGTACTACTCAACACTTTCTCAGGAATTATTATATCCCATAACGGTTCAATATAATCAATATTAGCACTAACAAGAGATGAGATGTCTTTGAGGTTTATCTGTCTTCCCATAGGATACAACCAAAGACACAAATTTGTTATATAGGGTGCTGAAATTTGCAGGAAACCATCACTTTCATCATCTTCAGAGTCCCTTATTTGCAGTACACGTAGATTTTGAGAGTTAATCTCCAAAGAAGTGAAACCCCAACACTCACTCAGATCCAAGAAGTTCAAAACAGGACAACCAGATAATATCTTTCCAACTACAGACTGAGGCAAATTCACTCCTAATATTTCTAATTTAGTCAAAACCACCACTTGATTGTTCTTTGAGGATCCAAAATGCAACCTTCCAAATACAATGAAGTCAAGGATGAATTTGAATACATCATTTCATGAAGAATGTAGAAATCTTGATTGTCGTTCATTTTCAAACTAACTTTTTTCACCTTATTTTCCAAGGCAAACTGGATCCAGTTATCAAAATCTGTAGAGAAGCAATCCTCGTACTTGAAATCAACCATCAACTTCTCAAGATGATTTCCACGACGAGCAGCAATGATCCTATTAACCCAAGCCACAAAATCAATCGTATTCTCACTTTCCTTACTTTTAGCCCAATCATAGGAGTCAAATTGAAGGCTCGGTAATTCAGCCCAAAGAAATTGCCATCTTTTCCCCAAAATGCTAGTAGTAGCAGCTTCCTTCATACCCAGTAAAGATATGATGTGAACAAGTAAGCAATCCGGTAATGCACTAATCCTATCCATTGAAACCCTAATTCGATGGTTTGCCCTAACATTTTCATGAAAATAAATTTCTAGATTTTCAGCTCCAAATTCTTCTCCTTTGCATAAATCACTTTCTCGAGATTCTGGAGTTTCTTAGAGAAACTCAAATTCAATATACCTAGAGTGGTAACTTATAAAAACCCTCTGATTTGCATTCAATTTACACATTGTATTCGTATCACTGAGATATATTGAATCGAATAGGCAAAACATTTACAATCGGAATGCAAATAGAGTCAACTAGAACAAGGGTTTAAAAATTGAAAGCTAAATACCCTACAGGGGAAGATGAACACTGGCAGATCAATAACAGCCTTACCGACCTACCGAAGCTACAAATTCCAAAAACAATGTTTGCATAGGGTCGCTTGGTGCTATCCCTCGATCGGTTGCTGCATATCACAGGTGAGGCCAGTCGGAGTCTCCTATGGTCTAGACTGTGGAGTAACTGAAGAGGCATCGGCAATTGGATGGTCTCCCATGTGAAATTAAGGGAGTAGACAGCGAAACAAGGGATGGTTTAGTCTCTAGATGGGAAGATAACGGAATCCAATGGAAGAAATGACGGAAACAAGAGTCTAATAACATGATGTACAACATCTTCTACGTAAAGAACAATATCATATAGCTGTAAGGTTACACCAACACATTTTTCATACCCAAAAAACCCTCACCTTCATTCACTCTTATAATATTGTAGAGATTAGTTAGAACACACGCCGTAGTTGTACAAATATCATTTGCAAAACATAAATTAAATAAAGATGATAATAGTAATTAATACTAATAGTTTGTTTGTTTTTTGCAAAACTAATAATTTGTTTTAAAATAGAAGTTAATAAAATACATTTCATTTAAAAATAGCCATTTTCGAGCATATTTAGATGCAAAGTCATTTATCAAACTTTTAGAGCCCGTTTGGTAGCACGAAAATCGGTTGTTTTGGCTGATTCTGCTGAAATTTATGAAGTTCTTGTAACACCGCCCCCCGAGTATTTGTACTGTACCAAATTATGTATTGAACCTTGAGAAATGTATAAAAGCATTTTACGTGATTGTAAATTTTTATCATTTCTATTACGTGAATAGTAAAATTCACGTGGGGCCCACACCGGATGTGGGGCCGCCCGATATTATCGGGACCACATATTATATTAATCTTGGACTAAATAATATGTATATGGCGGTGGATATCCTGATTGGGCCATGGCAATGGCACGGGGTTGACCGGTTGGTCAAACAGGGCCAAATTATCGGTATAGGCAAATTTATCGGATGACAGCCCAAAAAAAGGGATTTCGGAGGCTTCTAAATTAAATTTGGGGAATGCATATTGATTCTAAGGTCCAATAAGGATTGGGAACAAGTGTTATATTTTATTTGACCCGATAAAATAAAATATACTTAAAACAGTCCGGAAAATACAACTTTCGGGACCTATTGTACACTCGGGTACACAAAGGTTTGACCTCCCACATAAGTGGGGGCCAAACCACGTTCTTAAGCTGGTAAATGTATAGGGGAGCCGCACCTTTAGGATGGTGGAAGGGAGTGGGAAGGGGGGGTGGAGACAAGGTGTGAAAGGAAGGGGGTCCCTCCCTCATATCATTGATGAATGATCCAAAAAGGACACTCTCAACCACCCCAGCCCATACACTGCGTCCCAACCATCATTTTGGAGGAGAGAAGCTCTGCAAAAACTCCATTTTCATCCATCATACACGCACCAAGAACAAAGGAGGAAGAAGGAGGGGAAAAGAGAAGAGAAAAGTTGGTTTTGGAGAGGAAAACTTGTGTTTAACAAGGTAATAACTCCATTAATACCATTTCTTGTTCTTCAATACTCTTATATGATTATTCAATCATATTTCACACCCTAGTATTGTTCTACACGTTGGGATGTGTAGAAAGAGGGGTTGGAAGGTGGTTCTAAGTCCAAGAACGGACTTAGAAGCCAAAGTAACTGGTTCGCCGGAAAATAACCTTTTGGGGGTTATTTGTATTAGTATGGGTTTTATGATCATAAAACCTTGTTAGTAACTTGTCTAAGGTATTCAAGGAACTTCACGGAGTTGAAAAGGTCGCCGGAGTTGTCGCCGGAGTTCGTTGAAGTTCGCCGGAGTTTCGCCGGAGCTAAATCGGGAAGGCTAGAACTTCATAAGCTTCATTAAGGTGTGAAGACGGCTTTATGCGTTATAACTTTTGCGTGAGGCATGAGATTACCTAAAGTAATCAAGGATATGTTTTGTGGAATGATTAAAGATAATCATGTATTTGCTTATGCCATGATTTTGCATAAAACATAGTTGAAAAGCATGTTATGTAGGTTTGGTGATTAAAAATGTGATAACATATTTTGTGTGATGATCCAGAGATCCAAAATGGTAGTTTTGGATCAAGGACATCAAGAAGTATATGTGTATAAAATTTCAAGTTAATCGGACTGCGTTTGGGTGGTCAAACGGGCGTTGACCGCCAAGTCAACTGCCATACCCGATCGGGTATTGACACATACCCGACCGGGTATTTGCTGAATAATTGCCCAGGGGGTTACTGTCTCCTATACCCGATCGAGTATGGGTAGATGCTCGATCGAGTATACATTGAAAATTAGCTTTGGGGGCTACCGCCTCCTGTACTCGACCGAGTATGGGTAGATACTCGATCGAGTATTGGTTTATGCTCAAAACGGGCAGTTTTGAGTAGATTAATGTGGGCCGTTCAGGTGGGACCCGCCCATGTTGGTTCCTAAGGATGGTTATATGACTATAGGCAGGGGCGGATCTAGCATTTGCATTGAGGTGGGGCCAAATTTTAACTACGTAATTTATTTTGCAAAAAATGTCAAAATGACAAGATGTAGTTAAATAATTTTACAGAAATGTCAACGAAAAAAATAAATATTACAGAACCGAAAATTTAATTATCTTAAAAGAGTCAAAGATACCGAACCGAAATTGGCTCGGTTACTGAAATGTTCAGTGCCAATTTTCAAGTCGATTTCTCAAAAATCAATTTTCTTTTGACACCATAGTCTATGCTCTATGTAAAAAAGTAAACTAATTAAATTTCACCTACCAAGTACAATGAATTGAACTTATTAAATTTTCAGATCAATATTTAAAAGTCCAATGAATTGAACTAATTAATATTTCAGAGTAATATTCGAAATTCTAATGAATCGAACTGGTTATTTTTTTCAAGCTAATATTCAAAAGCCAAATGAATTGAACTAATTAATTTTTCAGACTAATATTCGAAATTCTAATGAATGGAACTAATTAATTTTTCAATATAATATTCAAAAGCCAATTGAGTTGAACTAAATAATTTTCCAGACCAATTACCAAAAGCCAAAGGGAGAATTCTCTAAATAGGAGTAAAAATGTTTTGAAATTCCAAAACAGGATTATCATGTTTTTTATTCCTTATATAGAAGTAAAGTTTTATTAAGTTTGACATTACCAGATTTTAAAACATGAAATTTTTTCCCAAACTTGACAGGTTACTCTTATTGAAAAAATAAAAAACATGATATTCATATTTTGGAATTTCAAAACGTTTTGCACCTATTTAGAGCAATTTCTAAAAGCCAAACATTGAGAGTATAAAAAATTTAACGCATGTTGTATTGAAAAATTATAACTAGAGTATCCCCCGTGGAATCGAACTTGACTGTCTTTGTTGCATGGTTAATATACTTCCACCGGAGCAACTTGACAGATGTTCATAATTCGGCATTTTCTATTATTATATCATAACGAATGAAACATTATACTAATATATACTCCGTACATGATATATATATATATATACAAATAATTATATTTTTTTGAGCATGGGCCTGGGCCTTCCCTGGCCCTGGGCCAGATCCGCCCCTGACTATAGGGCTAGGTATTGTCCATTGTTGAAGGAACGAAAGGTTAGCCATATCCAGGCTAGGGTTTGGTAAGGATTTAGGTTGGGGTTGAGCATCCCCGGGACGGTAAATGATCCTGAAACTCGGTTGGGGTTGAGCATCCCCGGCACATCAAATGATCCTGAAACTCGGTTGGGGTTGAGCATCCCCGGGACATTAAATGATCCTGAAACTCGGTTGGGGTTGAGCATCCCCGGGATGTTAAACGCTCCCAAAACTCGGTAGGATATTATGAATGTAGAATGTAGCTGGTGAGCTAGGCATTCGGGAAAAGGGTGAGAAAGGTCAGGTAAGAACTTTATCTCTAAAAGACTCTTTGAACGAAATGACCTACGGGTCGAGTATTTTACAAATATATATATATACAGTATGTATCATCGGATGAATGAGTCACATATATATATATGTATCACCCTATTTTTGGGTCTCGTGTCTGAAACATTAGTTATTCTTCATATAGCCTGCTTGTCACTAGTACTTCTATGGAGTACTGACCCCTCCGGGGGCTCTCACATTTTTCAGGTTGAGGCTAGAGTCCTACTACCTGCATCTTTGCCTAGGGTGATCCTTCAAGGAGGAAGACGTGGTTCGTGCTTCCATTCGTATTTTTGAAATCTATAAACTGCTCATGGATTTTTGAACAATGTTTTCATTAAAACAGTTGGGGGCCTGCGTGCCCGTGTTTGCCACGTGTGGCTAAGTATCAAACATATTATTATTTTACGCATTTGTTTTATTATGAAATTGATGTTGATTGTATGTGTTTACTAATCGGTTTGGCAATAGAATCAGTCGGACGCCTTGTACAATTCAATAGGGATGAACTGTTGTTGTTCTTGTCGGGTTGTACGGCGGTTGTCTACGTGGCTCGGATGCGGTCGGGGGCGTGACAGTTCTGGCTGAAGTGGCTGCATTGACTGATTCTGCTCATACAAGAAAAAAATATTTGTAAAATATATTTTATTAGTAAAATAAAGAAAAAATTATATGTAAAAATAGCTAAAATGATCATCTACCGTAACTTCAACCAATACAGCCAGAAAAGTAACTCCAACCTTACGTTTTCGGCTTATTACATAATTCAGCGCGCGAAAGCAAAATTTACGTGTTTGGTAAAAAAGTTGGCTGATAAGCCGAAAATGAGGGTTGCCAAACGGCCTCTTAATGTGAATCTCTTAGAGTGTTTCAAACTCTATTTATTAAGAGCCCCTTTTTAGACAAAGTTAATTTTTCAATTCTTGTTTTTCTTTTTAAGCTTCTCATGTCTAAATAAATATTTCTTTGGAAACATAATTAGTACTTGTTATTGAAATCCTCCAATAATCCTATACATATGTACAAATTTAAGATTAAAAATCTATTTAATTTTGACTTAAGGACTTTAATCAAACAACTTAACAAGTATAAACATATTTATACCAATTTATTAAATATAAATAGTTTAATTAGTTTATCAATTAATTACAATATGTTAGAGAATATTTTATGGTGTCCAATCACGTTTAATTTATGTGTACTTGTGTTGTAATAGTTTAATTAATAGGCTAGGCCAATTTAATGTTAGAGGCCCACTTACCTTTGTGCAAGCCCATTGTATACGGGCTCAACCTTCAGACATATAAAGTATGAGATTGAGTCTTGTAACCCTAAGTAAGCATCACGCATTCACGCACACTTTAGGCGTTAGAGAGAAGCGAAAGCTCATTCATACACTATACTGAAATTATCTATCTTTGTGATACTTATTCGAGTACTTTTCTTCCTTTTTCTTACTCTGTCTGATCATTGAATTGGGATTTATAATTGGTATCAGAGCCAAAGCATGAAACATGTTGAATCGATCTGCAATTTTTGAACCTACATTGACGACCACGACCAACTGTTCGAAGTTTGTGTTTGCAAATTAAATTGTTTCTTTGAATGATATGCAAGTGACATTATTCTACGTTTTCAGGAAGGTTTATATAACACTCCGGTCCCGCAGGACCTGAGGTTGTTACTACGGACCTCTAGTACTGTATCCTCACAAACCATCATGAGCCTTTACCACGCATCCTAGTTAGTTCTTCGACCTTGCTCCTCACCCAGATTGCCTTCTATTATTAGAATTCCAAAGTCATTATCTATCCATCTTATATCCTAATTCATCTACCCTTTATGTATAAACTGCCCCTCTTATGATTTCTTTATTTCACTAAAATTTATTCTATTATTTTAATAATGGTTAACCTTTATGTGAGAATGCATTTTTGACATTTCTCACAATAATGTGAGAGAGGGGTCCCATTTCTTTATATTTCTTTGGCCTCCAATAAATTCTTGCTTCTTTCCCACCTTCTTGTGCGGATCCCCTTGAAATTTGCAAGGAGAAAACGTGGGTTGGCTCCCACTTATGTGGGAGGTCAACCCTTTGTTTCCCCGAGTGTACAATTGGTCCCGAAAGTTGTATTTTTCGGATAGTTTTAATTATATTTTATTTCATCGGATCAAATGAAATATAACACATGGTCTCCATCATTATTGGACCTTATAATGAAAATAAATTTCCCAACTTTAATTTAGAAGTCTCTGAAATTCCTTTTCGGGCTATTATCTGATAAATTGCCGATACTGATAATTGGGCCTCGTTTGACCAATTGGTCAACCCTATGCCTTTGCCACGGCCCAATTAGGATATACACCGCCATATACATATTATCTAGGCAAAGATTAATATAATATGACGTCTCGAAAATATCGGGCGGCCCCCACTTCCGGTGTGGGCCTCACGTGAATTTTTACTATTCACGTAAAAAAAGAAATGATAAAAATTTACAATCACGAGAAATGCGTTTACTCATTTCTCAGGGTTCAATACATAATTTGATAAGGTAAAATTACTTGGGGGCGGCTTTACAAGTTCTACTCCCCTTATTTGGGATTACGTCCCCGAAATCCACGTGTCTAGTCAAACAGAAATGGATATTGTCCCCTCATCAGGGTCTCCACTTCTCAAGTTTGCTATTCGACGCGTTCACTCTTCCAAAGTACTTTTACCATCAGTACCTCTTTGTTCCTTAGTTTCTTTACCTGTCAGTCTATGATCTTTATTGGCTGTACCGTATAGTGTAGGTCTTCTCGGATTTCTACCGATGGTTTCTCAAGAATGTGTGAAGGGTCCCGTACATACTTCTTGAGCATACATGAAATACATTGTGAATCTTTTATAACTCTGGAGTCAACTGAAGTTGGTACGCTACAACCTCCATCCTTTCAAGAATTTTGAACGGACCTATATAGCGTGGGTTAAGCTTACCCCGACTGAGGAACCTGATGATCCCTTTCCAAGGTGATACCCTCAGAAATACCTCTTCACCGACCTCAAACTCCATCGTCCTCCGACGTTTATCTGCATAGCTCTTCTGCCGATCCTGGGCAGCCTTGAGTCTTTCCTGAATAACCTTTACCTTCTCTTTAGTGATCTCGACTAGCTCAGTGCCCTTGAGCTTAGC